GCATTTACATATATGAGCCTTGTTGTCCGCGTGTGGGCAGGTGCAGCTGCAGGAACGTTCATTACATATTTCGCTAGAAGTCCGACTTGCGCAACGAAGAGACGCCTCGTTTCTGATTGTTTCACGAATAATGCGGCAAGTCTAAAACCGGGGATAAGAAACGACAGAGAATATAAAAGTTTATGCCATTAACGTGAAACGAATTGTGTACAAAGTTTTATCGTGAATAATAAATATGTCCTAAAGTAAACTTTATGTATTGAATTTGTATATATGTGTACATATACATGTACATAAATATACATATACACGCAGAGCTTTAATCAATATTTTAGCTACAATTAATATTAATGAATTCGGCACGAGTGCGTAATAAATAAATAAATAAATCCGCCATAAAAATTTAACAATAATAATTTAACAATAATATAGAATAAGAAATGCAATATGATGACGCAAATATGTATAACAATAACAATAAATCACGATATGATATGTATTGGGGTTGGAACATAAGTTCGTAGCTACGAACTTTAAATATCAAGCAGCTGTAACTTCGTGAAAAATAAATGAGATTTAAATAAAAAAAAAGTAGTTTTAAAACTTAAAATTTATATTTTCGAAAAGTCACTATCTCTTTTGCATTCTGTCACTGTATCTTTTGAATTTCTAAGTTTAATAATTTTTATATATGGAAAACTACGAGCTACACAAAATGGAAAATTTTCGACATTGACGTGAAAGTTTTCTCTACAAAATCATCTTTTATTTAAGAAATGTTCTTAAGATTTTTTATTATAATACTAAATTATTGCAGATTAAATAAAAGAAACACTTTGAGACTTTGATTGCTCAAAATTGACTCGTTAAAAATCATCGTACTGCAATTAAAAAACAGGTTCTTAAAGCTGAAACTTTGCTTTATAGAATGGTGTGCTAGGCGAAAATATGTAGACATGATACAAATGAAGTAATGCTACTTTTGTTTCGATTCAATATTTATTACTCACATCAATATTTGTACTTGCGTAAGACGTAATACCGTTGCATCGTAGATAACAAGTAAATTCAGTTGTGCAACATTCACGAATATTCGCGATTTACCGAACTGGAATAAGACGGCAAGAGATCCTCCTGGAGTTCCGAGGACTCCTCGCTCCGAGTTATATAGTGAGGGCTTACTTTTTCGCGATTCGTTGTTGATAATGGCAAAGGTCGCAGTACAACCTTGAGAGCTTTGCGCCACATCATAAGAGGATTCATTGTAATCCAATATGCACTACGTGCTACGAAACATTGCACCGTACCGGATAACGTTTGCAACATGCTCGCGCTATGTAGGCTCGAGATAAAATGAATGATAGGTCAGTGTATTATGGAGGTTAATGCCGGCGGCCGAATCATTTAACTCATTCGTACGTGACCTATTTCTTTTTCGTACATTTTCGCATTCCAGGTTTGAAAGTTTATCATTTGATTTTTGTTTCTTTTATTAGTTTTTTTTATTAATTTCGTACAATTACACGAAAAGAATAATTTTTCTGAAATATCTAAAAATTTAGATAGATATATTTTACTGAACCATCAAAATAATTATGTAGGAAATTGAAGCATAATAACAATAATGCTGCAAAAAGTTTTGACATTATAGCAATCAACTTGAGCGTTTTACATAATTATTTTAATGATTCCAACATTATTTTCAGATTTGTATCTAACTAAATTTTTAGATATTTTAGCAAAACTATTCTTTCCATGTGTACGATAGCGATCTTCGTACATTATTACATTTCATAAATGTAATAACGAAAATATGTAATTTTTACATTTTACATATTGTTACTATAGTTTAGACTGGTACAAAAGATCTATCATCAGATGGATTTTTCCATTTAGCTTTGTGTTAAATAAAGTCTGAAAATCGAAGTTCTGCGAAAAGGGAATTGAAAAGTTTCTCTATAGGTGCAGTAAAAAGAGCATACTGTGAAGCGCGTGGCGGTAATTTTGTTTCGATTTTGTTTTTATCTTTATTCGATAAACATGACAAACCTTTTTTGTACCAATCTAATGTATAGCATTTCTCTCTCTCATCGATATACATTGCTATTGCTATATGTACTACTGTAATACATATAGCTCATATGCACTGGGCGTGGTTGAAAGGATACAAAATTAGGCGTTGGGGAGTGTTTGAGAACCTCTGCCTGTGTTAACATGTTTGCTGAACATCTCGGCCTCTCGGGAAAGCTTCCAAGTTATTTTTATTGTTTCTCTCGCGCCCTCGATAAACGTTTATTTCCCTCTCTGATATTTTCTACGAGTAGATTCGACTCACGTATCGGCCTCCGGCCGCGGCCGGGGTGAGGCAACTGGCATTTTGATTTTGACGAAAGCTTGGGCAAACTCGGCACCAGCGTGTTCTTCCATATGGATACATTCCTCGCTTGTCGATGTAATCTATTTTACAATCGTTATTTAATTTGTTGATATACAATAGTATATCGTAGAGATTTCTTAAAAAATGCTTAAAAAATTTTTTTTTTCAAGATTCTTTGTGGTACCAACAAATTAAAAGAAAACTGTGACAGTTATTTATCTGTCATTTCTAATAACGTTTTATTACAAAATACACGTGTATTTTGGCAATCATTCTTGAAATGTTGCTTTCAGTATTTATTATTTAGTAGGCACTTCAGAAATTATCGTTACTGAATTTTTAATAAGAAATAACATTTAACTTTCTCTTTTTGTTTGCGAATTTTAACTTTTCATTTTGGAGAGCTTTGGATATTATATGTGTAAAATTTCTGGAATCTTTAATCTAGAATTTTAATTCACAAGATCTTAAAATTTCATGAATTTTGAGACGGATTTGTGTGCGTAGGTATTTCCCTTAGGGATGCCTTTGCGTGCGATTTACTCGCAAAATACTTGGGTAGATTTGATACGAAACTGAGACACGAGGTAGAACACTGGGATACAGTTACGTGACGACTATGGAAATTCTTATCTGCATTGTCATAGCAAAGTCTGCTCAATTCTGTTGCGTTTCGGCATGTCATATAATGGAATAGATGAGTTCGAAACAGGAGAAGATTGTATAAAATTACATAACGTCATAGCAAAAAAGAGAAAAAATGTACAAATGAATGGAGGCAGACATCGTTTCCTTTTTTTTTAATTGTTAACAGCTGTTTTTATAGTTCCATACATGTTTGATATATACAAGTATATTTGTAATGTTTACCATGCAATATGTATTAATATAACGCAAACATATTGCATATTCCAATTTATTATTTCGAATATATAGATATAGTTATACAATTAAAATGGAATTACATATTTTTTTTTCTATGCAAAAAGCTCGAGTGCATTTAGCAGATTTGCAATATGTACGATTTTCTCTTTTTCCTATAAAAAAACATATATTCAAATATCATATACATTGTATATATCACGCAGAAAGCTGTAGAACTGGTCACGCATTAATTTATTAAATGCAAAAATTTATTATATTTTAATACGATCAGAGAGATTAGCGAGATATTTGTTGCAATGGCCTTTGATTTATACGGTCTTATTTATCATGCTTCGATTAATTGAACCGTATAGATTTGTATAGATTTTGGAATTTTTGTTCGAATTTTTATGTAGTGGCGTAAAACGATCGCTCATCAATTTGTGGATGTCACCCGAAATAGACATTTCTATTGTCAATTAGTAATTGTAGCTATTTTGCAATTGACAAATTCGAAAGCTCATTGTAGATTAATAATTTCATTTGAGCTGAAATTTTTTAGTTAAATAGCAGAGTTTAGCGAAAGTTTCATGTCGACAAGAAAAGCAATCTTGAAGAATGATGCTTCGAAATACGTTAATGAATTGATGAGAATGAGAGCTAAAGAATATATATAACTATAACTATTACTATTATTATGCATAACAATGATCGATTATTCTCTTTTAGTTAACTCAATTCATCTAATTTTTTTAGTTTATTTTTTGGTTGATTAATAGAAAATGGTTAATGAATTGTAAGATTTCGAGTAGATAAATTGTAGGAAGCACATAAGCACACTTAATAGACCCACGCGATACTGCGACGCGCAGGTGCAGTGTCCTTACGATTGCAGTAGGCCGAGTATGGCCTACTTTCCGAAACAATCGCGCAATACCTACCTAGAACATCTTGTTGGGCCAAATGTAAGTGTAGGAGTTTCAAGGGAATGCATGAGAATGACCCGCTTTCGTTGAGATGTGTCAAGGTCGCGTTTCACCTAACGTTATCAGAAATGTTATATTTTATTAATTATATAAAAGATAACGATATTGCGTTATCGTATTATTGAGATTTGAATATCAATGTAGATTTTATTTTATTTTGGCAATAATTAAAAAAGTTAGAATTTTCTGATATCTGCATATGTTTATATTTCGAATTTCAGTGATTATTATATTTTATGTATTCCAGTGATCTTTATACAAATTTTATAAACCATTACGTATTTAGAATCTGTTCATTACTTATCAGAAAAGTCAAAGTTGTAGTTTAGTTTTAATTTTTTATTTATATACTAACTGAAAAAGATTCAGAGGATACGCGGAATGTTCATTCTATTTCTCATATTATTGATATATGAATAAATTGCAGTTACTATTTTTTAATATTTTGCTCGTTTCTCTGGCCATCTTTATTATTAATGCTTTGCTGTGTAACGAACTAGACTTTTATATATGTAGCACTTACATAAAAAATTTCTACTTCGTATTTCTATCTTAATTTTTACAGCTTATAATATCAAAAAAGAGATGAACTATAAGTTAACTAAAAGAGAGTAATCGATTATTATGACGCTTAAAAATTGTAATAATTAGAGTCCTTTAGCTCTCATTAACTGCTAAATCAAATGAACGACTAAGTAACCGTAGTAAAAAGTAGTAAACAATTAAACAGGCAGTACTTAAACGCTGATCGTAGATTGAAGGTCTCCCTGACGATGATCGTCACGCGATTTGGACGAAGGTCGACGACGCCCGAGGGTACGCACGAGAAGCGCGGCGTGTCGGCGAATTAAATCGCGGCTTTAGTATCGGCTATCACGGAATTTTTTGAATGTTTAGGTAGTAGGGACTCCCGCGGTAGGTTGGTTCTCTTCGGAAAACGTGGCGGAGCATGTTGGTTACCATGCAATGCCAGCTGGGATTGGTCGAGTTTGGTGGGCGAAGAGAGATCAATACTGGGAGGCTTTCGACATGGAGAGGCGTAGGCCGGTGTGTTCACCACGAGGAACGAGGACCGGGATTAACGGCTGCTACTGGCACGACCTTGATTGTGACCTTAACCTTGATAACGCCCTTGAGCGAGATACAAAAGCCCGTCGTCGTCGTATCGGCAACGACGGGAATTTCCGCACCGGAAAATTCGTCGCCACATGTAACTCCCTGTAGTCGAGTTTTCGCTGTAATGTCGGTTGAACTGTGTGTTGCGGATTTTATAGGTCGCCCTTTGTATATGTTACAAGGCCATTGAAGCGGCTCTCGAAACGCTGACGTAGATACCTTTGGTATAGGGTAGACAAACGTACGATGATCCTGAAAGCAGATAGCTACTTTGAAACTTTTCGTTCTGATTCATCGAGCGTGCTTGATAAACTTTCTTTATAAATCACCGAGTTGTCAAACATGGAGATTAACGTTTTAAAAAGATCATGTAATGGATGCTATTTTGATCGTTGATTCTCAAAATATTTATTTTTTTAATTATTCAATTTTTTAACACTATTATATATAAACTATAGGTGTTCTAAAGTGCAACCAAATAAAATTTAGGAAACTAACATAAGAGTGTTGTATATTTACAATGGAATTATCGCTTCCTTGCTTCAAAAGTATATAACTCAAAAAATGAAATTTCTCAGAAAAGGAGAAAAACTATTTTTCAACTTGACAGAAAATTGTTAACTAAATCGAATAATATCGCAAAAAGAATATTATAATTTCTAATTCTTAACATCAAATGTTATTTTTATCATTTTCATTTCACAACTTTTAAAATAATCTATCTTTTTGAATTGTGACGATTTTGATTTTTTATGAAGTTAAATTATATAGTAAAAAACATACATTCTGTATTTGTATTGAAACTGGTCTTTAAAATTAAAAAAATTAAACTTAAATTTAAAGGAATTTTGTGTTGAATTGTTAACATACTCGAGTATTAATTTATCATACTGTGATTATGTAAATATTTTAAGTTAAATTGATATTTAACATTTCTTAATGTTAAAATAACACAATGAGTAAGTAAACAAATAGATAACATAAAAATAATATAGTTTTAAAACGTAAATTCTAAGATAAATGAATAAAAGATAAGCGTTAATTTTATTGAAGAAATATATTCTTACAATTTGCTTCCTTTGGTCAAAGTGTTACATTTCTTGTGTTAATTTTCACTTAATGTTTATTTCTACTTTCTAATATATCTCTTCATTTTGTATTAAATTAATATAAAAATTTGTGGATGGACTGTTTGGAATGTAAAATGTGGTAAAATGAATAATTATTTAGCTCACCTTTGATATTAATGTTTACTTAACTCATTCTTAAATAATAATCGAAAATATTTTTCGTTTTTTAATTGTGTCTTTTGAAGTGAGGGAGCGTTATAGTAAAATTATCTATCGTGCTATCGAAATTATGACGTTACGATGATAACAACTGCTTTGATAAACATAATTAAGTTATGATAGAATTAATATAATATTTTGATAAACGTTTTACCTAAATATTCTAACATTCGACTTTGATCATTGTGTTCTACTCGAACGGTCGCAGCTGTTTCAAAGGAAATCATTATGTCTCAACTGAACAATAAGACTCTGCTCGATTTCCATATAATTAAGATCGACTGTTATCATCGTCGCGGCCTTGACTATACGCGCAGAGCTCGACGTAATAAAGTTTAACCGAGGTTGTTATGTTCGATTTGATCGCCCTGCCTTTAGAATCGAGATGACCGTGTACACGTCGATGCATTAAAAATCTTCTTGCTTTTTTATGTCGAGCGTTTAGGACAAGAGTAATGTTCAACCACATAAAACCGTATAAAACGTTACTGAAGTAAAATAAATCGTAATATAAATTATGATTTACTATATGTATAAAGCGATTTTATGTTTAACGTGAACATATATATTATCGACTGTATTGTAAATTCAATTCATTCTTCCTTTGAAAGCCTCCTATCGTGGCTGTAAGAACATCCGTAGATCGTTATGTTATCCTGCGACTAGAGCTGTCTGTCAAGAAGATCGGTTGATTGATTATCTCGAACGTCTACAAGGATGTTCGATCCATCTTCAGCGATCAGTTTCTCCTGGCATTCTTAACGGCACTTCTTCTTTTTTTTCTGACAATTCCTTCTCGGATTACTCGTTTACCCTCCATTTCTTTTCTCAATCCTCGATCGTCTGTATATTTTTATGATGAATCGACAAAAATACACGTTTTAACGATGGATTGCATTTGCAAAGCTGAAGGCGAGTTTCTTTGAAATTTACAAATGCATATTTATATATCAATAAATAACGAATGATTATTAAATTAATATTTGGAAATATCCTTTCGATATAAAACAGCGTTTCATGATTCGATCATTAAAGGTATGGGGGGGAGGCTAACTGTTCAAGAAAACACAATGGTTGTCAGAAAACATATTTTGTAACTATATATACAGGATTTTAGTTAAGTATGTTGCCATACTCAACAGAGCGATTCTTTGGTTTATTTCAAGTAAAAAAGTCTATATAAATATTATAAACATGTGTCCTAAACGGCTTAGTTTCCGAAATACAGGTGAATGTTCGCAAATGTTTGACGAAACGGTAAATTGCGTTGGAGATATCTTCCTGCATAAATATGCCTTGCTTCACGTGAGTTACCATTCGCACAACCGTAAATAAAGTGACAAAGTCAAAGTCACAAAATCAAAAATAGATTTCAGTTTTGATGTTGCTGCGGGTCAGTTAGCTTGTACACACGTTTTCAACAATTCATCTAATTGTTTTATTTCATCAGAAGAACTGAAGCCTATTTTTTATTTATTTTTTTTTCTGTTTTTGACTAGTTTTTTTGACTAGCTTTTGACTAGTTTTTGACTAGTTCAGCTGTATTTCTTTCAAATAAACAGATTATTACTACACGTTTAAATTTTTTTATTTCGGAAACTAAGCCGTTTAGGACACATGTTTATATGAACCTTTTTACTTGAAATAAACCAAAGAATCGCTCTGTTGAGTATGGCAACATACTTAATTAACACCCTGTGTGCGTGCGTGCGTGCGTGTGTATCTCACACAGGTTAGTTTTTAACTGTGCTGATAAATACGTTTTTTGTTCACGTTTTGTTATTATTTTGATGAGTGCGCAGTTCTCGCGTAGCGTTGTCGCAACGTGAGATAACGTAAAAAGATTAAAACGCGTGGAGACACGTGAATACATTAAGTATACGACACCGGTATCATTTTCATCGGTAACATCCCGTGTTATTTCATTTTGCTACCGTCTGATTCATTTATCATATGTAAGTGTTTTTATTTTGCTTTCAGTTCTCTCTCTTAATAAGAAATATTCTTAATAAGAAATATTGTTCCAGTAATTAATTATCAATTATTAAGAAGCTTTATCAATTGTATACAAATTACATCACGATGAATAATCGTAAAAGTACGCTCAGAGAGAAAGATATATAGTGGTAGCAAACTACACATAGGTAATAACTATAAAAGTTTTATGTGTAGAATTGAAGTACACATGCACACACACATAGTTGAATAAACTATTTTACAATTATTGCAACATTAATTTAATCCTACATGATAAAAAATTTGTAAGTCACCTACATATATATTATATTTGCTATCGCTATGTTTTTCTCTGAGTGTAAAAGATTGCTCAATAAGTTCTAACTACAAAAACGAATTTTTTTCTAGCATGAAATTTTTTATTTTGCGAAAAAAGAACATACATTTTATAAAAATGAGAAAGAAAAAAGAAGGAGAGATTAAATTTTTTAATTCTTTTATAAGACTTCATAGAAAGAGTTTTCGTTGGTTTGAACAATGTGTGTGTTATTTATATTTTAAATAATGGTTCATTGGCTACGATATTTAATGAAATAACGCCCCAAAATTATTAAATATTATTAATATAAGTAGATTAAGATAATTAAATTTATGAAGTGCCATCAAACGTTTCAAATCAATACTAGAATGATACTCGATACCATTTAATAAAATTAGTAATATTTCAGAATTTTTATGTTTTGAGGTCCTTATCGTTTAATTTCAAGAGTCTTATAAACACTTTTAGGATGATCTGTTGTCATAAATTGTTCATTAAGTACGTTTAAATTTTAGAAAATTAAAATATTTATTTCGCGAAAAAATATAGATTCGTATCAATATTTCATTTTTTTCTATTAATTTCGGAAATAATCGCAACAAACGTGTTTCTGTCGAAGTGAATTCGCTGTCACGTCCGCATTTATCAAAGAGTTAACTGAATTTGATTGCTCCTGTAGACTCGTGGTGTGCCGGGGATTTGCGACAATTGGCACCATGTCAGAGGTGAGACGCGGAGGGAAATATAAGAGAGGTGAGTGACGTCGCTGCCAACGGTCATCATCAGATGTCGTCTTGGCCGCGATTCGTTCGCGGCTCGTTCGTGTCTGCCTGTGCAGCTGATACGCTCGTTGGCGACAAGTACAACGTCAGTGAAGTCCGATCGATTCGCTGATCATTACGGATCGGCGAATTAGTGTTTGCATGTGACGATAACCCTGGTGCACGATAACCGCTATCGAAGCTCACCGAAGCTCCGCTCGCGAGTGTTTTTCGCGCACGTTCCCGAGAAGGAACTTTGATTGTCGACGCGACCGATCGAAAATCGGACCGAGCTTTCGACGCGCGAGTCGAGTTCTTTAAATATCTAAAATAATAATAAATCTGGAGTAGGAACAGTTTCAAACAGCCGCTCGAAATACGTCGATCAGCGGCTTCGATCATGCCTGTCCGATACGCGATGTGAAACTGTTGACGCGAGGAGAGAGATCGCGGGGATCGCGAGGAGTGTCAAGTGCAATTCGACAATCGACGTTATCGAAACGCGGAAGGTATGGCGTTATTCTCCGGTGGCGGCAGCGGTGCCGGTGGTGGCGGCGGTGGGCCGCCTATTAAACCGGAAGACACCATCCCTTCTAGGCAACGGAGCCTCAAGGATCGGCTGCGAGAAGGAATCACCGGCGGATTCGCTTGGCAGTGAGTATTGCCGCGTGATTTACGAAATGGAAATTGGCAGACTTCATTTTTAATCCGCACGACCCCTCTACTTTGCATCCCTTTGTAGTTTATTTTCTACCTCGCCTTCCTCGTCAGCCGCGCGTAATT